ATTACAGCTAGATTTTTATTAATATAAGATCTAGATATTAATTAAAAATCTAGTAAAATCTTATAATAATTTATATCTTTTATTAAGAAATATTTAATTAAATTAAGAAATATTTTCTAATCAGAACTAATCTAATAGTCTATTATAATTAATATTTATTTAATATTTAAGAATTTTAATAGTAGTTATATATATATCTTTTTAAATAATTTTATAAAATATTTTTTAATTTATATTTAATTAAAAAAACTTAATTTTTAATAAAAAGATAAAATAATAAGATTAATTATCTATTTAAATTAAATATATTTAATAATTTAGAATAATAAATAATAAATAATTATAAAATATAGAACTTAATTCTGAAAATCCTGTTTATTATAAATTATAGAAATCTAGAGAAAAATAATAATTAGAAAAGATTTATTTTAAAAAAATAAATAAATATCTATAATAACTCTTTACTCAGTATCTGACTAATTATTTACTTAGATATAATTAATAATAATTTCTTTTTATAATTTTTATAAAAATAATAGTTTATAAAACTAATTTCTGAGTTTTTAATTTCTGAATATTATAAAATATAAAAATATATAATATAATAAATATAAAAGATTTTATTAAAAAATAATATATCTTTTTAAAAGCTGTTCTATATTATTAATAACTTTTTCTAATTAAAATAAAATAATAGTTTTTAAGTTTATATATAATCTTTAGAAAAGATTATCTTCTATTATTAATTCTAAAAAATAAAAATTTTTTTTTAAAAAACTAAATATAGAATAATCTTCTGATTCTTTATAATATATATAATCTTAAGATTTAAAAAAAAAAAAAAATCTGACTTAAGAAGCTTATCTTAGTTTAGATATTATTATAATTTATAAAAATCTAAGAATTAAAAAAAAAAATTTAATAATATTTTTTAAAAATAAATTAAATAATTAAAATTAATTTATAATTCTGAAACTATTTTAAAAATAATAAATATAAAAAAATAAAAGCAGAAAACTCTGTTTAATAAATATTAAATTAAAATAAAAATTTAATATAATAATAAAATAAAATTTAGTTTTTAATTATAAATTTAATAATAGATCTAGCAAGCAGAAATTTATATCTAAAATTTAGAATTATAAAATAATCTCTTCTTTTAAATAAAACTATTTAAGATATAATAGATTAGAATAAAAAATAGATATTTATAAAAAAAATTTATAAAAGATTTTTACAGAATCTTTTATAAAAATTATAATATTATAATATAGATTTAATATATTCTATCTAGATATTCTATTTATTTATTTTATTTATTTAATCTATTTAATCTATTTAATCTATTTAATCTATTTAATTTACTTTATTTTAATAATCTAACTATCTGTAATCTTCTTAACTATCTGTCTATTTCTAATTCTATTAATAGTTCTTTAAGCTATATCTTATCTATAAATCTAAGAATAGTCTGATTTAAAAAAAATAATAAAATAAAAATAATATATTTATTCTTAGTATTCTAATTAATAATTAATATATAGTTTTTCTAATATTTTATAATATAATTAAGATATATAGCTAAAACAGAGTAATAATTATATATTTTTATATATATTTCTTATTATAAAAACAATAATTTTATAAAAAGCTAAATTTTATTAATATAACTAGAATTTTTTTATTATTTCTGATAGATAATAATAAAAAAGATATTAATTTTTTTTTTAATTATATTTTTTTAATCTAAAAAGCTTCTTTTTATATATTTTTAGGCGATAATAAAAATAGCCAGATTAATAATTATTTAATCTAGATATATCTTAACTATACTAGAGCTTAAAAAAATATAGCAAATAGATTTTAATATTAAGAATAATTAAGATAATTAATTATCTAATTTTTAACTATATCGCGGTCAGATATAAAAATTTTCTTAATCTGATTATAACCTGGCGGTTAGGTATAAAAATTCTAATTAACCTGACCTGACCTGGCCGTTAGCCACTCTAAATATATAATTACAAGAATAATCAGTTTTTATATTATATAACTAAATATATTTATTAATATTTATTCAATTTTTTATATAAATCTTCTTTATTCTGTATTATTAAATCTATTCTTATTCTAAGAATTAGGTAAGATATAATTATTAGAATTAATAATTAATAATAAAAAAGAATTTATAATAAAAGAGATTTAGAATAAAAAAAATATATAAAAAAAGATTACAAAATATAACTCTAATATAAGATTAAATAAATTAAATATATTTATATAACTTAAGAATCTGTTTTTATTTTATAAGAAACTAAGACTCTTAATAACTAATTAAAACTTAAAAATAATTATTAGACTTTTAAATAATCTATTATTAATATTATCTAACTAATAAACTTTCAATTCTTAAAAAAAAGATAAAAAAATAATAATAAGAAAAAACTATTTTAATTTTTAAAAAAAATAAAGAGATTTTTTTATTTAGCTGATTTAGTTTTTTAATTTTTGAATAATAATATAAAAAAGTACTATAATATTTATAGATTAATATTTTATCTTATTTTTATTAATATATATATCAGATTTCATAATCCTTTTATTTATATTTAGAATAATATCTATTTTAATATTTAAATAATTATATATCTTTAAAAAAACAGATCAGATATTATTATTATATAAGATAAATTATAATGAATTGCAAAAGATAATAAGAATAATATTAATATATAATAAATATACTATTTTTAGCTATAAAAAATTATAATATATATTAATAATATTTATATAAGACTTAAAAAACAAGTATTTCTTTTTATAATGAATAGAAAACTAATATAAATAATAAATTTATATAAAAGAAATTTTTATAAGCTATAAATTATACAGCTATATATCTGTTTTTTTTTAAGAAAATTTATAAATAAATAAAATAAACTTATTATGAAATAAATTAATCTATATAAATCTAGTTAAATTATATAAATAATAAATAAATATTAAAAAAGTAATATTTTTAATCTTAGATTTCTCTATTATAATTATAAAGATTAGAAAAAATATATTTAATATATAAAAAATAAAAAATATTTAATAAAAATAATATAAAAAATACTAGAATATTTAAGAAATTATATTTAAAAAAACTAAAAAAAATCAGAGAACTATTATTTATATAGAGAATATATCTTTTATATAATAGAATTAATATATAAAATATAAATCAGAAAATTCTAAAATTATTTATAAATAAGATAGATATATATAAAATAAAAAAAAATACTATTATAAATTTTATATAATTTTTTTAAATTTTAAAGACTTGATAATATCTGTATAAATACTTTGTTTAATATATTATAATTAAATAAATAATTAAATAAAATAAGAGATAGCACTGTATAAGAAAAAATGAAAGATATAATTTAAATATTTTTTTATTAATTTCTTCTGTATCAACAGTCAATCATTAGATTAGCTTAATTTAATTATTCCCCTAACACAATACTCACTAAGTTACTTATATATATAAAATTATCAGATTCTTAAGAACTCTCTTTTAAATATTAGTTATTTTTTTATATATATAGACTCAGTTCTTTAAAGTTTATAAATTTTATTTTTAATATTAAAAATAATTTTTTAAAAAGAAATATTATAGTTCGGCAACTGGCTGTATATAACTTAAAATAAATTAATTAAAATATTAAAATTTAATAATTTATTATATAATTAAAATATTAGTAGCTTATAAAAACTATTATAAATGATTAATGAATAATTAATTATATATAAGAAGATAATAAAAAATCTAATATAATTCATTGGATTAGCTTAATCCAATTATTCCTCTAACAATAATATCTTTAATCTTATATTTATTAATTATAATTATAAGAATAGAGAGAGTATAAATAATATATATAAAAAAAGATATATATTTAGTAAAAATAATAAAAAAATTATTAAATTATTTAAAAAACTAAGTTTAAGAGAGTCTAAAAAGATAAAAGATTTCTATTTATATGAGAAATAAACTCTTTATATAATAAAGCTAATATATAAATTATAATATATAAATTACAAATTTTTAAAATTATTTATAAATTAAATAAATATATATAAAATAAAAAAAAGAATATTATTATAAGATTCTTATATAAAGTTTTTAAATCTTAAAATACTTAATAATATTTATATAATATATTAAATAATGAAAATAATAATAAAGCAAGAAATAGTACTATATAAAAAAAGATAAATATAATTTAAATATTCTTAATTTTTTTCTTCTATTAATTCCTTCTGTTACTCTGTATCAACAGTCAATCATTGGATTAGCATAATCCATTATCCAATCATTCCCCTAACACTGGAGTTCCCGCCTTTATTATTTACAAATAATTTTATTATTATTATCATTTAATAAGCATTGTCTACCTGCAGTAATCATAGTACTCAGAATATTCTTACTGCTCTGATACATAACAGTACCTAACTACAGAGTTGTACTAGTACCACTAGATACAGATAGTATAGTATCTGTACTTTGTATTATAAATCACTGTATGCCCATTTACCCTTGCTGTTTCTAATTCTGTATGATGCGGGGCTGCAGGAGGGGAACTACTACTCAGTTCAAGGTCCAAAGGCGTGTTTATAATACTCTAGAAGGTTGGAAAGGTCGCACGACTCTATGAAGGTCAGGCAAGGGTGTTGATCTAACAGTACTCATCTACGTACAGATTCAAATGCTGTGGTAGATAAGTTTATTACTACTGTACATGAGTAAAATAATGAATAGCATTTTAAAATATCAAATAGTTTCCTGTCCTACAATGGGACAGGATAATATGCCATTTGACCTAACTAACATGCGACACAGGCCGTTGGATGTCCAGACCTTCCAGCATCCTTTGGATATTCCCGTAATGTTTCTCACCAACGGAGATGGGTTGCACTAAATTGAGCCTGCCGGGAAATTGTTACAGAGGCACTTAAAGGCTCATAGGCTCTTCTGCAACGTAGTGCAGATATGCGCCCAGTAACTTGATCCCTTCAATGTAATTCCTCTTGTCGAGCTTTTCATTGACCGAATGGGCGGCATCGGTAGAGCTTCCCATGGGCAAAAGCAAGACATTCTTCCCCGTTGCTTGTTCAAAGCTCAGTGTGACGGGAATGCTTTCCTGGAGTTAGAATTTCTGTAATAATACATAATATAAAAAAGAGGGGAAAACATCGAGGACGTACCTGCCACCTTCACGGGTCATATCTGGTTCAACCCCAAAAACCTGCTTTACTGCCTTGCTTGCAGCTGTGAAGTTCCAGTGCTTGGGACTGGCAACCCACCACTTCCCATCATGCTGGAGCCATACGTCCAATGTATTTTTGCTATTCAATTTGGCAAATTCCGATTTGATATAATCAAAGACAAGCCTGTTCACATCCTCACTCTCCATGTTGGGAACAGTCCTGATTGAGAACTTGCCAATAACTTTGGCTGGAATCACTGTTTTTGCTCCAGGAGCAGAGTATGCGCCTTCAACACCATGGATAGACAGAGATGGGTATCGCCATCTAGCCATAAGCGTTCTTTCCTTGGTAGCATGGATGCTGGTTTCACTGCCCAACGATTCGTGGAGGTTTTCCATGGTGTAGCTGATGCCGCCGTAAAGTGAATTTTCTTCTTCTGTGAGAGGTGCAACAAGATCCATGATCCCAGGAATTAGGATGTTGCCCTGAGAATCAACAAGCCGAGAAAGGATATTGACCAGGTCAGTCATTGGCTCGTGGGCGGAGCCACCAAAGACCCCGCTGTGTAAGTCCTGGGCAGGGCCCGAGATGCTCAAGGAGTAATAATTACAGCCCCGTAACCCATAGGTCAAGCAAGGCTTTTCGGTTCCAAGCCAGTAGTTGTCTGAGATACACACAGCATCTGTATCCTTAAAAAACCTTTTGCTTTCGGCTTGGATGAACTCTTCCAGACCTTCCGAGCCGTATTCTTCCATCCCTTCGAAGCAGCAGAGAAGATTAACTGGAAACTCAACCCCAGCTTTCTTATGAGCCTCAATCACATTCAGCCATCCCAGAACTGGGCCTTTATCATCTGTACTTCCACGCCCGTACATCCTTCCTTGGCTATCGACTGTCAACTGGAAAGGCTCTGTTGCCCAGCCATCTTCCTTCAGAGCAGGCTGGACATCATAATGACCGTAAACTAAGATTGTTCGCTTACTCTTGTCATTACCATACCGAGCAATCACGACTGGGGGTAGGTCAAGGTGCTCCTTTCCGGGTTGTTTCCCTAGGGGTCTCTGCTCAACTTCGGCTCCCAAAGCTTCAAGCTCAGAAGCAAGAAACTGGGCCATCTTATGGAGAGAGTCGACAAGTTAGTTACTCGCCGTTCAATTGGATATGGGATAATATGAAATACCCTGAAGACATCCTTCCTATTTTCATCCTGAGCAGAAATAGAAGGAATAGCGACGGCCTTTCGCAGACCTGAAGGATTTTTAGGGTTGGTTCAACTCCCCAAATAACATTGGTTGGAAAACATGAACGTACGGTCAATAAAAGATCCGGACAGATCATCGACCCTATCAATATAACCACCCAAAGATTGTCAGCTGCTGCACATTGATGCAGAACGACTAGACGATTTGCGGACAAGTAAGGGTGAGGGGATTGGATTTGAGGCGTAGGTGAGTCGCTTACTGCTTGAAAAAAGGCTCAAGTTGCGGTGCCATTGTCGGATCACTGATGCTTCCGTAGAATGAGCAGCGAGAAGATATGTAGCCTTTTTGTTGGTGTGGAACGATTCGTCGTGCCCTGGTAACTTTGGGGGTCGACAAAGATGTTGGGTATATTCTAAACTCCCTAAGCGACGTTGCAATGCGACGGAGGGGGAGGGGCATTGGTGCTGTGGTGGAAGTTAATCGAAGTAACCTGATTTGCTTGCTGGATTGGAACAAGTTTACCTAACAGTATCCTCGCTATCAGTCGGGGTTCCGAGGTATCTACGGAGTAACCTGTACAACTAAATTACTACGCGTTACTAGTAGATAGAGATGACCCGTTGCAAAGCGCAAATAGGCGGCTGCCAGGCATCCTACTTTCGTGGTACTTGATAAGCATAATTACCTAATGAAGAGGTTGCAGAGGGTACTCCACACATTTCCCGGTACAAATGACGCTACAATACATGATTTTATACCAAAAACGAAAGCTTCCAGTATCATGGGCGTTGCAAAGTGTGACAACCTTTGGCTAGGAATGCGACCCAAAAGGTTCACAAATCGAAACAGCAAGAACATGGAGACAGAAGGCGGAAGAGTGTGCAAAAGTATTATTCATCCCTTCCCCATGCATCCTTCCGCAACTGTCGGTCTTCTCTGGCCATCCGGCGTTTAGAGCCCCATCTCGATTGAACGGCCTCTAGAACCCGCTTCTGTATCTCCTTTTTCTGTGGACTAGTTTCGCAAACCAGTGAAATGAATATAGGAGAACATTCAAAGTGCTTGGCCAACTTCAGACGACTCCACATCATTGGATCAGTGGCTCTAAGCCTTCTAATCTCTCGAATATCTGATGGGGTTAGGTGGTATTTTTTTTCGCTGGGTGCCCTGACTACAGGAGGAAGCGCTTCAGCATCGTTGTTTTTGACTGACGCAAGGCGTAAATTTCTTCGGATATCGCCGGATGGTAGGAACTTAGTCGGCGTGAGGTAGACTGAAGGCGCACTCGAGGGCGGGTTGTGGACAATGTGATCTTCTTGAGTATGGGTCAAGGAAGAGCCGAATGAGGCATCGGGCTTGACACGTAGACGTTGCTTGGTGCGCCTATATGAGGACTGGTTTCGTCGCAAAGCTAGAGCGATGGACTCGCAAGGAGAAGGTAGAAGAAACGGTAGAGCCACCAAAGGCCTCTTAGGAGCTGCAATACAGTGGGCCATGATGATTGAGGTTCCTTGATGGGTTGTGGCGCTGCAAAGATGACTAGGGGTAGCCAAAGGGTTTGATCCGGTGAAGGGTAAATCTGGCGCAAATGGGTCATAGTGAGCAATTATACATCTAATAGCGGATACGACTTCGGGGGGGAAAGGGGGGGGGGAGGGAACGAGGAGGGAGGCTTAGGGCTAGGAATAAAAACGTACGTACGTACAACCGCGAACTTGTGGTCGGGACTACCAGAGCATGATTGTAATGGATAGGAGTGTTTGAAAGTGATGGATACCGCATGAATTTGGGAAGTTGACTTTTTCCGAGCTGCTAGTCTCGTGACCTTGCAACCACCAGCCTAACTCTTTATGGGACCCGCCGCATCCGCAGGAGCTAGATGTACACGATACATGGCAGAGACATCACCTTATGCACCTGACAATATATGAAAATAATTATATTATGGACGTCGGTAGTATTTCAATCTGATCACTCGATAAATTCCCCCAGGTTGGGGAAGTGATCTTAGCGACAATGAATGGCGCCTTTACATTGCTATGTTGTATTAAACTTTTTTTATGAAAGCTGGCATTTAAAGGCCAGGGATCATGTTCACCAACCATGTGACCACCAAAGGAGAATACTATCCAGGTACCGAGTAACGGTATGTTCCTAAGCTAAGCTGGTAATAGATAGAATTGCTATGGAAGAATGTTCTCACATACGAAGTACCTGTGTCATATTGCCATGGGCTATAATTGGTGAACTCAAGCCACTGTTGTGCCTTGAGACATTAACATTTCACAACCCTGGACATCATATGGTAGATAATATTTCATCGCACAAGTCTATTCGATTTTCGTTGAAGTGATACTATATTCCGTAGACGCTGAGAGCGTTCAGATCTTATGATTTGCCCCGACCCATTGTTTTTAGAGCCAAATGGCTTGGACGCCCAAGAGCGCACATTATTTATTGACTTGGGCAACAGCATTCAATGCTTGCTGCACCCGATGGCGGAGATCCGGCACGTCTTCCAACCCAACACTTACTCTTACCAGGTCAAAGTCGACGCCAAAAGAGCTGGCCTGGATAGGTGTCTGTCAGTAAGTTACACTAAAGGGGTTCACCCCCATGACAATATATGCAGATTGAGGCGGCTCGCGTACCCATTTCAACTCACTATAGTGCGCTAGCAAAGTGTAAGGACAACTAGCATTTCGACGCGGTTAACAGGGGTCACTCTCTGGCTTGCTTTTTACCGGTCAAAAACTTACCTTAATGTAAAATTGGTCCCAAGACTAGGGCCCTTGTGTACTTCAAGGTGATCAAAGAAAGCAACGGCCTCTGCCGTGGAATGAAAAGTAACAGAAAATAAACCACCATAGCCTCCGTTCTGGGTACGAAATGACTCATAGATTGGCCTTGAAGGGTTATATTTCGGATAATAAACATTTTTCACTGCATGTCCAATTAGCACTGAACTATCTCCACTGATATCGATGAGGGGAACGAAAGAGAACCAGAGAAACAAAAGAAGGATGACTTACCGAGTGGGGAACTCTTCAACATTGCTGTGATTTCTTCTGTAGTATTGTTGATCTTGTCAATCCGCGACACAAAATCGCGGCTATTTCTTTCTAGGAAAACGGCATCTTCTGCCCAAAGATTTTCCTCGTATTCACGCGCACATGTATCTTTTAGAGACCGATAATAGTGTCCATGTGGGTTAAGCACGGCACTTCCCCCCATGACATTACTGTCTCCGCTGAAAACCTTGGTTAAACTGCTAACAACAACATCTGCGTAGGGAAGCACATTGATATTGAGGAAGTTCCCGACTGTCTCATCGACTATGACCGCAAAATCATAAATGTCGGCGAGTGATCGGATTCTTTTCAGATCGGGAGCTTTCAGTAAGGGGTTGCCTGGGAATTCAGTAAAAAGGCCGAGGAACCGCTCGCCCTTTAGTAACCTTGTTTCCAAATCATCAAGATCCTCAGACGAACCATTTCCATAAAACAGGCAGCCCGGGCCCCATTTTTGTAGTATTTTGAGCGTATCAGTGTATGGGAACCCGAAGCATATGCTTCTCATCTCGCCCCTAGCAGACATCAACAGCTGATGAGCGCTGAATATAGAGCTCATTCCCGTCGGAAACAGGTATACATCAGACTCTATTAGCCCCGCGACACGGCCTTCTCCGGATTCTTCCTCAAGAGCTTCACTGAGCTCAACATCGGCAGTAAGAACACCTGCTATTCGTCGGCGTACGGCCAACTTTGCCTGGCCAGCAAGCGAAATGCTCAAGTTGCGACCAAATCGCTCTTCAATGAACTGATCATGTTCTCGGCCATCTGGTATGCAGCTGTTTGTACCTGGGATGAATTCATGCGCCTGTGCTCCACATCCTTGAGGCTTTCCGCTTATCAAGTCCCGTCCTTGATATCTTCTAGGGCCTTTGCAGAATCTCGGTGACGTTGTGTCAAAAATGCCTGCTTTTTTATCTGTCAAGAATCCAGACTCCAGTGCACTCAGGCAGAACTCAGCGCGTCTACTCGATATGCCATTGCCCGTATGTTGCCATACCTGTTTGGCAATTGGGGCATATTGAATGGGGTATATCACGCAGGATAACAGGAACTCTGTAGTAGATATTACGGCATCAATCTGACGGGAAGGACCGAAATCTATTACTCGGACTTTGCAGGAATCTTCGGCCGGTATCTTTGACAGGAGGAACGAACAGCAGCCCCCCGCAGTCTTTGGAGATGGGAACAACATGGCGGTTTCCGATTCTGAGTTCCCGTAGCGACGCACAACTTCTCGCGCGAGTTCCTGGATAATGGGGTGTATGAAAAACCGAGGGTAGCCGCATTTCATTCTATCCATAACCCATGACTCCCCTTCCTCGTATGCCACATTGACTTTCCATGTCGGAAGGGAAACACTGACTGCCTGCTCCTCTGTGAGTGACTGTGTGCCAAGGACCAATTCCAAGCCTTCCCGAGTTGAATCCGAGCGACGTAAAGCCAGGGTAATGTACAGGAAGAGATAATGGCAGACAAGACATTACACTGGAAGCAAAGCGGGGTACGTGGGATTATAAACATACGTGATCGGTGTGAGGAGGGACTGGGCCTCCAATATCTTGGAGCATCGTACCAAGGAAAGACAGTAGCACGGCGATGCGATATATAGACAAAATCCAGGAAATTAATGTCTGGTAGAGAGACTCCGGAAATTCGTAAGAAGGTTGACTGGGGTGGTCAAAGACACAAATAACACTAGGGAGTGGGGTAGGTTCCATGCAACAAGAGCGATTTCGGCGCTGCCGTTACTCTGCGTAGTCATAATCGTACATAGTAAAAAGTCCAGCCAACGATCTAACCACCTACATGCTTAGCGATGAAAATTGCCCACGAATGAGATACTCCGTGCATACAAGATATAATTGTGCGTAGCACCCATTCTTATGAAATTTAGGGCTGTTTTTGCAGAGTCGCTCGACCTGAAGCCTGTTCGGGTACCTAGGTACTCCGTAGTACATGCTTCATGTCCTTAAAAAGACAGGGCTGATCTGCTAGTATGTAGCAGTACCTAGGTAGTCTATAATAACTAAGTTGACCTATGCCTGCCGGTCTTAAATATTAACTGCATGGTGAAGTGATTGCTTGTTTACTATTCTTATAGTTTTTGATAGTTTTTTATATAGTGCCAGTGTTACTTTGTATTTCTAGTAGGACCCATTGTTTCAATCTACTACGTAATTACCTAGAAAGATACTTTAGGTAGTAGGTACGGGGTAGTAGAGAGATACCTCGATTGAATAAATTACTCAACAAGTTACCTATGTAATTCATCACCTTATAATAATACCTACCTTACCGAGTACTACCTTAGTAGTATGTACCTAAGGCATTAAGGTACTGCCAGGGGCGGTGAGAAGGAGGAGGGTTGGTCTTGCCGTAGCGAGTGGTTGCCTCATACGGTCGTCAGTAGCCTAGATAATTCCATCACCTCCTGTATTCTCATCTTCTAGCTAGCACGGATATCATCAATTTACTAGTGATTTGTTATCTGCGAATAACTTCATTATTATCATCGTTCTTACAAGCGCTGCCTACCTGCAGTAACCATAGTACTCGGAACATCCTTACCGCCCTGATCCGCAACAGTACCTTACCTACTTTACTACTAATAGTACTACTTTTCCATGCACAATACATAATACGTACCTGGGTACTGTTGGGTATCCGGGCGGTAAGGATGGTTTGTATGCTATGGTTATGCTGCAGGTAGGCAGCGCTTGTCAAACGATGATGATATTCGATGAGGTTATTCGCAAATAACAGTCACTGGTAAACTGATGATATTGGTTCCTCCCTCTTGCTCCTCACCGCCCCTGGCAGTACTACCTAGGTAAGTAGATAGTACTTTTGTGTTGGCTGCAAATATGCATAGCAACGCCCAGGTATTTTTGAAAATTACCTACCAGTACCTTACTACTAGTACCTGGGTAATACCTACAGGTACTAACAAGTAACTAAGGTACGGAGTCCGTACAGACTCTGTAGTAGTTAGGTAGCATTACATAAGGTGCCTACACAGTAACTATTCTAGTATAATGTGTGGCCTGAGGCTGCGAATAGGGTCTAACGGGAGGTTTTCGGGGATCGGAGTTTACTTTCCGCCGTGTCGGGGAAAAATTAAAGTGAAGAGACAAGAAAGGTATCAACGGTGAAGACCCTGCCCAGAACGTCGCAAATCGTCAATTCGAATCGGTGTTTCCACCTGCTATTTCCCAACACAAGTTTTCTGATTTGCATTTGATATGTCGGCTCACACAGCAAAAAGGAGGAGGCTGAGCCCTTCTCCGGATGACGCTCCGAATGTCCAGCATTTCGACTCCGATGCCAACTTCAAGTCGAATCCAAATAGACCATGTGATGGTGATGAACCGAAAGAACAACCTCATAAAATGGAAATCTCTTCGTCACACATAGCTGGTCGAGGAAAAAATGACAGCTCCGCCGAGCTCGCACGAGCAAGCGGGTTCTACAAGTCCAGTTTTTTCAAGTTGCAAATGGACGAGTTACTGTCCGAGTTGAGACCTAATTACGATAAGCAAATATTGAGGCTCCAAGAGACACTCCACCAGTTGAAAACCGTCATTGAATGCCTCCCGGATAGGCCTCCGAAATTAGCATTGGAAGCAGAGAAGGAGCTGCGTGGCGTATATGGCATCACTGTTCCTTATCCCGAGCCTCGACCAGGAAGGGATGCAAAGTACACCGTGGCGTATTCAAAGCCTACAAATATCAATGTGGTGGGGAGTGTGTCTCTCAAAACGGGCGCCAAAAGCACCGGACCGTTCACGGTGGATTTAGCAGTAACGATGCCCAATACTCTTTTCCAGGAGAAGGACTATGTCAATTATCGATTTTTCCACAAAAGGGCATTTTATATCGCGAACATTGCTGCTGGACTCAGGGAGGCCTCGGGCTTAAACCTTGACGTCAAATTTGGGCTGCAAGATGGTGATAGTCTTCGTCCTGTTATCATATTGGAATTCGATGCTGGCGACAAGAAAGAGCCCCACGTTCAGATCCGGATCATCACAGCCGTCCAAGACTCTTTGTTCCCGATGCATCGAACTTTACCATCCAAAAACAATATACGTCAGGGCTCGGCGGATATGCTCGCGCTGGAAGGGTCCACTCCGTTCTACAACGCAGCTCTTCGTTCGGAGGCTACAGTGGCTTTATATCACAAATACTTATACAATTCTGCTCGCAGCTGTGACACCTTTAGGGATGCTTGCATTTTAGGCCGGCTGTGGTTACGGCAGCGTGGATTTGGATCGCCCTTGTATACTGGCGGGTTCGGCGGGTTTGAGTGGACTGCACTCATGTCTCTTCTGTTTGAGGGAGGAGGGCCGAACGGCAAGCCCATCCTTCTTAGATCATACAGTAGCTATCAGCTATTCAAAGCGACCTTGCAATTTCTTGCTGGAAGGGATTTGACTCATCCATTGTTGTTTTTCGCTACGGATATCTCTTTTCCCAGCCGGAGTCCCACATTGTATGACGGCAAGAGGGGGTTGAACGTTCTTTACAAGATGACAAACTGGTCATACGCATCCCTACGCCGCGAGGCAAACACTACGGTCAACATGTTGAACGAGTCTCGTGATGATAACTTCGACAAGGTCTTCATCGTCAAAGTGAACGAACCTTTGCTAAAGTTTGACCGGATTGTCAAGCTGCCTTCCCCAGACAGCACAAATATTCTTCGAAACCTCCGCAACCAGACCTCGATCTATGACGTAATCGCTGAAGCCCTTGGGGATAGGGCCGATCATATACACATATACAGTGATACCACCGAACCCTGGGCAATGGAGGCGAAAACGAACCGGAAGCCAGAAAACAAAGGCATATTTATTGGGTTACTTTTGAATACAGAGAATGCTGCGCGTGTTGTTGACCATGGTCCGTCTGCAGAAGAGAAAGAAGAGGCAGAATCTTTCCGGGCCTTCTGGGGGGAAAAGGCTGAGCTTCGGCGCTTCAAAGATGGTAGCATCCGAGAGAGTTTGGTATGGGCTGATGAAGCATCTTCACCGTCTATAATATACCAGATTTTGGCGTATGTCTTACGGCGTCATTTCAATTACACTGAAGATGACGTGGGATATGTTGGGGATGAGTATGATCAGAAAGTACGCCAAAGTGGTGGTGATGTTTTTTCATACTCCAGTCCATCCTTTCAGTTGATCACCGATGCCTTTAAAGCGGTGCAGAAGTCCATTCAAGGAATGGACGGTGTTCCTCTTACTGTCAGGCATCTGGCGCCAGCCAGTTCAAGTTTGCGTTATACTGCCCTCCAGATACAGGGTGCTGCCGGAACCGCATGTGACCCGGCCGATATAGTCCTTCAGTTTGAAAGTTCGGCTCGGTGGCCCGATGATTTGAAAGCCATTCAGATGACCAAGGCGGCGTTCCTTGTCAAGATAGGGGATTTTTTAAAGTCAGCCGGGGTTGCATCCCTTTGTCGAGTTGGATTAGAGAATGAGTCGAGCGTGATCCTGAATAATGCGTTTTTGGATATTACCCATACGACCGGAGTTGTCTTTCGCCTGAGGATTCATCACGATCGGGAGCAGCTGCTGTTAGAGCGTCTACTGAAGGATAGAGGCCTTTGTTCGCTAGCGAAGCAGCAGCTTGCCTACTCCTTATCCGCATACAAACGACAATTCATCCAAGCTCCTCGCCTGACACAAGCAATTTGCACCTTGTGTACGCGTTTTCCGTTGCTCTCGCCTACAATCCGCCTTGTTAAACATTGGATCAACTGTCACCTGCTCGCAGGACATGTCAATGAGGAATTGGTTGAGTTGCTGGTGGTTCGGGTCTTTACCCAACCTTATCCATGGGGCGCCCCATCAAGTGTTATGGCTGGCTTTCTGAGGACTCTTCACTTACTGTCCCGGTGGGACTGGCAGCAAGAGGCGTTGATTGTCGATTTTGGCGAACTCGACAAGAGTTTGATAGAAGTCATTCAAACACGGTTTTCAGCCTGGCGAAGCATTGATCCGACAATGAACACCGTTGCCCTGTTCGTTGCCTCCGATATTGATACTGACGGGGTGACTTGGACACAGCATGAAATGCCCCCGAAGGTCGTGGCAGCTCGGATGTGCAGTTTGGCAAAGGCAGCCATGAAATTAGTACGGGAGCAAGGTTATGGCCTTGCTATATCGGATTTGTTCAAAACATCTTTATCGCCTTACGATTTCATCATCAATATTCGCTCGGGCCTGTTGCATGAACGTTCGACGCTGTCAGCAAAATTCAGGAATCTCAGGGAACAGAAAAGCGGTCAGCCGGTCAGACTTGAAATTATCCGTTCATTTGTTCGTGATCTGCAGGCATGCTATAGCCCAAATATCATTTTTTTCTATAGCGGCGATAGCTGCAATGTGATTGCCGGGCTTTGGAATCCGCAGGTCCTCAAACCGAAGACATGGACATTGAAGCTGGCACATTCAACATGCCCAGTGCACCCGGCAGGTTCGAAGGCGAACGATGAAGTCTCTATCAATTGCAAGGCCATATTGGATGAGATTTCTAGACTAGGTGCAACCTTGGTTGACAGTATCAAGGTTCAAAAAGCAGGGCTGGTTTTGGAGGAATAATTTTGGATGTCTGTCAACAGCAAAAAAACGTCTTCTCATTTATTTCTCAAGTACCCGATCAAGTCCTAGGAGCGCCGTTGCAATGCGACTATGAAGGCCAACCCCAAGATCTTGTTAGAAAGAGAATCATTGAATTAATCAAACACAAATGCAAAAAAAAAAAAGAAAAAAGAAAAATAAAACACGTAAAAATGCTAAGATGATGTTCGCTCATACATGAATTAGTCTTCTCCTCTCACGTGCCTGCCATTGCCTTCTCGGACTTTTCGATGGGTGTCTGAGAAGAGAACGAACAGAATTTATCTTTGATCGCCACAACTTCGTAGGTGCCTTCGTCCGAAGTTTTGATGGTTTTGGTGTGCTCGTAAGAGATATCATGTTTGATGTCAAGTATGCCAGGCTTCCTCCCTTTTCGAGCATTTGAGCTCCGAATGTACCTTCAAAGAAGAGAATTAGTCACCCATAACCGAATGGGGGGTGCAAGCAACTTACGTGAACTCAAACGGTGGTGTGCCCCAGAATTCAAACTGGAGTTCTGCCTCGCCTCCTTCATGTATGTCAACGACGGAGACCTGGCCTTTGCTGATTCTCACGCTTGGCATTTCGTGTATTGTCTTTGTTATATTCTTGTGTGCCTTGCATTTTCCGCTTGCACCATCACTTACACCAGAAATGGTGAAAACACCTGGTCTCTCGGCAATACGGCGGAAGTTTGTGGTACGCGAAGTAGCTTTTCTAGATGCCCCGTCGAATGTGTAGAATACGTCAAATGGGGCATGTCCTGACAACAAGAAAGAGAGCCGTTCGCCAACACAATAGTCCGTTTTGGACCCCAGAGGAACTATTGTAGGTACGTCGGAGACCGCGACTCTCACTGACGACTCATCGTATTCGGCTTTGTGTTGGCACCCCCGCGCGTCTCTCACCTTGCGAATGCTGACAACGTGCTGTCCTAAGTCAAGATGTCGTCGCGGTATAGGAAGATTATGTCGATTGGACTTAATATTAGAGATGGTCACAATTTCAGGTTTCGCCTTTGAGTGGTGTTTGATGGAGACTTCGAGCGAGAAGGGCGGAACTCCCTCTAATGTAATTGGAATCAACTCCTCACCGCTGGTATCTTCTTTACAGAAACCGTAGATGCGGCCAGGGGCATCGAAACGAGCAGAGGGAAGGGGGTTCACTCTTTGCGTTACGATCACTGGCTGGCTTCTGGGATCGTGGTCGTATAAATTATCCCCGACTTCTGTGAATTTGTATGTGTAGAGGCCGGCTTCGGAGGTGTCCATTTCCATGGAAGTAGCATGAAGAGCTGTCTTCAGACTTTGTAGCCTGACAGAAGGTGAACCACGAGGTGATTTCCGTTGTTGCTCATACTGAATGTCAAATGGAGGATTTCCTGTCATCCGGAGCTCAAGGCTATCATCTTCGCCTTGGCAAATATCACGTTTCACTATTTGACCATCTATGCCGATAGGAGAATCATCCACGGCAGCGATTCGAGGACGAGGTATCCAGGATACTTCGAAAGCACTGGCCATTTGATCCACAGAACCAGGGCAAGAGCTATCGGCAACCCCAACTAGTTCGTAACGCCCTTCCCGAGACACAGTCAAGACGCTATTTTCATCCCAAAATGACTTCTCAATGACAGTCGAACTGGCGTCTGTACGATATCTCACGTTCCATGGCCGCTCTCCGCTGAGCCTAAGTGGAACATCAACTCGAGAGTCCCGCAAAGCGGAATATTTCCTGCTCTTCTCGATTTGGCCAAAGGACACGTGGGGAGGTTTTGAGCGAGCATCGATTTTGATACTATCTTTGAGAGTTCGCTTGCAATTCGAGCGGTCTTTAACACTGGTGAGTACAATGGTATACTCGCCACCACCAACGAGCTTCTCAGTCACAATAGTAGATATTTCGCTGTCGGACTGTAGTGTATACTTTGCCTTCTTGCCATTATGGACAAGTTCGTATTGTAGAGTCCACGGCGATTCGCCTAGAAATGCTACATCCAGGGAGACGGGCTCACCAAAACAAGCCTTGCGTACATCTTTGGACCCAAGGAAATGAGCGGAGGCGGGGGGTCTCACGTCCTGTTCGAGAATAGGTGCTTTGTCTTTGAGGGATCGTGGGCCATATACGGTATCCGCAATATCCAGGAATCGATAACGGTAAGAGCCTGCCTCTGATGGCGTTAAGTCTAGCTGAGCACGTAGCCCATCGATGGTTTGGGATCTGGTTTCGACACCTTTCGAATGTTCAATAACATATCGGACTCGAAAGGGTGGCGATCCAGTAAGGTCCAGATCGACGAGTAAACCAACGGGATTATTCGCACATTTGTCGAAAACTTTCTCGTATCTGATAGCAAGCTCTGGTTCTGGGGGATTGCGCAGATAACAAGATGATGGTTCCAGGACTTCCCCAGAACAGAATTGGCTAGATATCGAATTAAGGCTGTACCATCCCGGATCTCTTATTTGGGGTTTCTGATCAAGGTCCTTGAGGGACAGCTGTCGCACTTTGTTGGGCAGCTCACTTATGACTGCTTGCTCGTTGCCACTGAAAGAGTACACCAGGGAAAACGGCCCGTCATTAGCATACCCTTGCCCGGATGGGTGGTAATTTATTGGTAGGTCAATGCTGTCGCCACGTGCGACTTCCAGAAAGCTCTGGTCATTGCAGCCAGACAGAGACATTCGAGGTCTTTCGTGTACAGAAAATCGATGCCACTGAGATAACGACTTTGTTGATGATCGATCAAATCCATCCAGGAGCGCTGAATAATTTGCAACGTTTCCGGTGCCGTCATGAACTTCTTCAATGATATACAACCATTCTCCGCCGGTATTCAAAGATTCGTTTAGAGGAACTTCAATTACTTGGCTTTGAGCCCAGAGGACCTCGGGCTCTTTGGTGTTGAATAGAATGCCCGAGTTTCTCTGCCCCAGCAACGGCGAACGCAGATTATCCGGTTGAATATTTTGGAAAGAAAAGCCTCGGTCAAGATGGTTGACCTGTCGGCTATATTTGATCTTCAAAGGTGGCGTGCCTTCGACCGCTAGTATTAAGTTCGATAGCTCCCCCCGGCACTTATGGGCGTGAGAATTTTTAATCAAGGCACGAGGGCAAGAGACGACGAGAGCGTCAGACGACCGTACATGGACGTCCAGGTTGGACTCGTCTACTACCCTCTGCAGACGATATATTCCCGGTCGTCGAATGGGGAAGAGAAGGTCACGATGAAGACTTGCTCTGGGACTTTGAAGCTTCTTATCGGCCTGCCGCTTAAGCTGTTTCAGCTGCTTGGATGATAGCGAGATCGTTTCATTGTCGCCCGAGTCAAAGTCCAGGCGTAACAGCTCAATCAAAATGGGATCTGTCTGATTGACCCGGATGGGTAGGTTGAGAGCACTATTCTGTGAGTCTATGCAGAGAGGTACGTGATCTGGGTTCAAAATGGCCGACCTTTGTGACAGCTATTAGTAACACCAATCAATACACTATCTCCTCCACACACTCACCCTTCGGGTAATATATGAACGATCTGTTTGCCTAAGATGAGAGATGCATTGTGAATGATATCTCCTGGCTTTACACTCCGCTCGGAGATAGACAATTCTCTATCATATGCCAATTTAACCATTCCTGAGATCCATACCCCAACCGGAACCTAGTACCATGTCAACAATTTCTTCTCTTACTATAGCAGAATCGTCAAGCATACGGGAATCCTGAACATGAGAAACATGTTGCCCACGACATGGATAAGGAAAATGGCGAGTGTCGTGGGAAAGGCCCATTCTAGCCACGGAATTCGCAACGCCTGAAGACCGAAGAGAAAAACACCATCCACGGCCGCCCATTTCAGGAATAGCCAGGTCGAGTCTAGATCATCAGACGCCGTCCAAGATTCGTATACCCGCAAAGCATTCAACGCAACATAGAAAGCGGCCATATAAAGTCGCTGTGAGGGGGCGTCTATCACTTCAACCGGTATGAGGGGCAAGTTCGCATCGCGAGGGGCTGCAGACGTCCTAAGGGGCGGTTTGTGTGTTCCCGCATCGCGAGATTTGGTCTTTGATGTAGGAAAACCGAGCTCTCTTATTTTCGGGGGAGTTTGTGGTGTCTGCGGGAAAGCAGACCGAAGTCGGGGAGTGCCGTTCATGGCATGCTGTGATTATAGAACATTCACGATGAGAGTTATCTATACTGAAAGCAATGGGGGGGTGAGCTTCTCTGAGAAAGGGTCGGGGAGCCGGTTGGAGGAGAGGTAGGATCAAGAGGGGAAACATTCGCGCAGATGAGGAATAAGGAGTTTTTTGGAGAATGCCAAAGTCGCGCAAATACAATGGAGCTCACTTACCAATTCACAGAAGGTCTAGAGATGTAGCCGTGTCAGAAAATAATGGAATTGAACTCAAGGCAAGAGGGATGGCTACAGGGTACTCCGCACCACTGTTCAAGGATGAAAGAATAATAATAATCAAGGTACTCCGTACGGGGTACTATTGAGGTAAGCTACGGAGTAACTACTACATTTGTAATGATGTATTTGGACACGTGACATCATAAATTCCAAGGTTTCCAGGCTAGTAAGGTATTATTCTTATGTTACAGTAGTAGGTACTTGGATGTATGTACTGCCAGGGCGGTCAGTGGAAAGCGTGGTTCTTTTATCCTTTGAAGTTGTATTCATCTATCAACATTAATATAGGGCATTATCAAGACCATCTGACATGGCTAGGTATCTGTCATTAGAGACCTTCTGCAACAGTCATTTATTATTAATATTTGGTATAGCGGCCTGCCCCTAGTAATCAACTATAGAATTATTTAAAAAATATAATATTTAAAAATTTTAATAATAGCTATATATATATTTTTTTAAATAGTTTTCTAAAATATTTTTTAATTTATATTTAATTAAAAAAACTTAATTTTAAGCAGGGAGATAAAGCAGCAAGATTAATTATTTATTTAAATTAAATATATTTAATAATTTAAAATAATAAATAATAGATAATTATAAAATATAAAATTTAATTCTAAAAATTCTATTTATTATAAATTATAAAGATCTAAAAAAAGATAATAATTAAAAAAGATTTATCTTAAAAAAATAAATAAATATCTATAATAATTTTTTACTTAATATCTGACTAATTATTTATTTAAATATAATTAATAATAATTTTTTTTATAATTCTTATAAAGATAATAATTTATAAAACTAGTTTCTAAGTTTTTAATTTCTAGATATTATAAGATATAAAGATATATAATATAATAAATATAAGAGATTATATTAAAAAATAATATATTTTTCTAAAAATTATTTTATATTATTAATAATTTTTTCTAATTAAAATAAAATAATAATTTTTAAGTTTATATATAATCTTTAGAAAAGATTATCTTCTATTATTAATTTTAAAAAATAAATTCTTTTTTAAAAAAGCTAAATATAAAATAATCTTCTAATTCTTTATAATATATATCATCTTAAAATTTAGAAAAAACAAGATCTGACTTAAAAAGCTTATCTTAATTTAAATATTATTATAATTTATAAAGATCTGAGAAATTGAAAAAGAAAACTTAATAATACTTTTTAAAAATAAATTAAATAATTATAATTAACTTATAATTCTAAAGCTGTTTTATAAATAATAAATATAAAAAAATAAAAATAGAAAACTCTATAAAAATAGTTTATTTTATTTTAAAATTTAAAATATAATTTTATATAAATATAATCTATTATATTTTAATATATAGCTAAGATATTTACTATATCTTATTTATTTTAATAAATTTAGTAAGTAGAAATTTATATCTAAAGTCTAGAGTTATAAAATATTTTTTTTTAAATAAAACTGCTTAAAATATAATAAATTAAAATAAAAAATAAATATTTATAAAAAAATTTATAAAAAACTTTTATAAAATTTTTTATAAGAGCTATAATATTATAGTATAAATTTAGTATATTTTATTTATTTTATTTAATTATTTAATTATTTAATTTATTTAATTTATTTAATCTGTTTAATCTGTTTAATCTACTCTATTCTAATAATTTAATTATTTATAATCTTCTTAACTATCTATTTATTTCTGATTTTATTAATAGCTCTTTGAACTATATCTTATTTATAAATCTAAGAATAATTTAATTTAAAAAAAATAATAAAATAAAAGCAGTATATTTATTCTTAGTATTTTAATTAGAGTGGTATATCTTAACCTTAACCTGGCCATAATCTAGTAATCAGATTAAAATATAAAAAGTTTTTAATTATATAATTAAGATTAGATTAAGATATAATTATTATTATAATTATTTATATCTGCTGATTAGAAAAATCAGATATTATAAATAAATTAATAATTATAGATTAATTTATAATATATATATTCTTTTTATATAAATAATATATAAAATATAATATATATCTAATTATAATATAAATATAATAATATTTTTTAGATATAATCTACTATTTAATCTATTTAATTAATTATCTTAAGAAATATATTATATTCTGAACAAGACTTTTATAAAATCTAATATAAAAAAAATAAAAAAAATATAGAATATTTATTTTTTATATTATTTAAAATAATAATTATAATAATATAAGAATTATAAAGATTAGATCTTTATCTTTATTTAAATATATATAATAATTAAAGACTTAGATAAGATTAGTTTTTTTAATTTTAATAATAATTTATTCTCTGAATTATTTTTAAGATTATTTATATTTTATTTTTATTAATATAAAAAATAATAATTATTTTATTCTTCTTTTACTTCTTAGATATAAAGATAATTAAATCTAGATTAAGATTATTAAATATATTCTAATATTTTTTACTTATAATAAAATAATTAATATATACTTAAAATATAACTGCTTTAATTATATCAGAATAAAAATAATTTTAATAATAATAATAAATATCTTAAGATCTATTAAAAAAATATTTAATATTAATATTATTAATTATAATTAAGAGAAAATCTCTAATTATCTAATAAAGAATAGAAAACTAATTATAGTAAGATTTTTAATAAATAAGAATATTAATATATGCTATAATATCTAGAATTATATTAATTTAATTAAAGATATCTTAAGAAGCTATATATCTTTAATATTTAAATTAGAGTGGATTTTGGTTAAAAAACAGGTTAAAAACCAAGCTTTTAAAATCTATATTTAAATAAATATTTTACTATATATTAATATTTTTAAAATATAATTAAACTTAAGTTTTATTTATATTTATATTTTATATTTTAAATATAGTTTAATATAATTAAATTATATTTAATATATAATTAATTAATTTTAAAGTATTTTAATTAGTTAATTTTAACTGTTAAGTAATATAATATATTAATAATATATTAAATAATAAAAATATATATAATATAGATTTTATATTTAAAAATATAAATTATAATATATAAAATTATATAAAGATTTATATAATATTTTATCTTTATATCTGTATCTATATTTTTTAACTGTTTTGCTTAAAACAGTTAATCGTCAGGTTAAAAAAATCCACTCTAATTTAAATATATCTTAAGTTCTTTGCATGTCTTGACTATAAATAAAAGTTTCTGATATTTAAAAATATTATAAAAAATCTTATCTAGATCTGATAATAATCTGAAGATTATTAATAATATATTAATTATTAGATTTTAATTATAATAAAAAAAGAATATCTTCTTAAAAATAGTTTAATATTTATAATATTAGTTAATATTATTATTTAATTATATATTTTTCTTAAACTTCTTAAGCTTTAATATTAAGTTTAAAATAATTATAATTATATAAATATAGTCTTTGATCTAATAAATATAATAATAATATTTTTAAAGTTTTTAATATATATTATATAAGCTCTTAAGAATCTTCTTTTTTTAGAATATCTATTTTTTTTAGTTTATTAATTAAATAATCAAGATAATTAAAGAGATTATTATAAATATTATAAATTTTATAAATAATAGATCTACTATTCTTAAAGAGATAAAAAATAAAAAAAATATAAAAGCTTAAGAAGATATTTTATCTATTTTTATTTAATTATAATAGAATAAAAATAATTAATATTATTATATTTATAATATTAAATAAAACTTTTAATTATTTAACAGAGATTAAATATTTAATAAATTATAAAATAGATTAAATTTCAGTAGATTTTATAATTAAGAAAAAAATAATAAACTAAATCAGATTTAAATTATTAAATAATAAAACTTTTTATAATATTAAAAATTTATATTTATAAATTATATAATCTTCTGAATTTATAATTAAGAATTAATATAATAAATTAATTAATAAAAGATTTTTAGAAGCTTTTTATAAAAAAAGTTTTTATATTAATTTTTTATAGATAATTTTTAGAATATATTTTTTTAAAAATTCTTAAAATATTAAAAAAGATTTTAAAACTTTTATTATTATTTTTTTATATATATTTAATAATATTATTTAAAATCTTAATTTAAAGTTTCTGTAGAAGAATATTAATTATAAACTAAATTATATAAATAAAATAAAAAATATAATATTAGTTTTAAATAATCTTTAAAAAATTAGAATTAATTAAAATATTATAAAATTAAATATTCTAACTAAGTTAAGTTCATAGTTTAATTAAGATTATATTAAATATTATATTATTATTACTAATATTATTAGTTATTATATCTAATAATTAATAAATAAGATTATATTTATATAAAACTAATAAAATAATTATAACTAGATTTTTTATTAATATAAAATCTAGATATTAATAAAAAGTCTAGTAAAATCTTATAATAATTTATATCTTTTATTAAAAAATATTTAATTAAATTAAAAAATATTTTTTAATTAAAACTAATTTAGTAGTCTATTATAATTAATATCTATTTAATATTTAGAAATTTTAATAATAATTATATATATATCTCTTTAAATAATTTTATAAAATATTCTTTAATTTATATTTAATTAAAAGAATTTAATTTTTTATAAAAAAATAAAATAATAAAATTAATTATTTATTTAAATTAAATATATTTAATAATTCAGAATAATAAATAATAGATAATTATAAAATATAAAATTTAATTCTAAAAATCTTATTTATTATAGATTATAAAAATCTAAAGAAAGATAATAATTAAAAAAAATTTATTTTAAAAAAATAAATAAATATTTATAATAATTTTTTACTTAGTATTTAACTAATTATTTAT